TGGACAATGTCTGCACGCATATCAAAGTCCTTGCGAATACCCCCGTGTTCGGAATCAACACAATTGCCCATAAACCTGAAGATGGGAAGAACATCCACAGGAAACACAAAATCATGCTCTTGGGTTTGAAGAATGCGAAGGGTGGAGCCGATCCAGTGTGAATAGCATGTGTCACATTCCTTTTGTGGTCTTCCCTGGTATCCAACAATTGGCATAATAACCCCCGTGCTGCCAATGGACTCATGATCCTCAGGACCCCCCGACAGACGTGCGGTACAGTACCGTAATAGTAAGTGATGACGGCTCCGAGTTAGAGAAGACATTGCGCCAGCCAACGCCAGCGAGGCTACCGCACAAAAAGTCATTCCACCATGCGCCTCCGCCCCTGGCACCGCTCCAAATGCACCCTCGTGCGCATCCCAACAGCGCCAAATAAAGGCGACTGCCTCCTGGAGAGTGCCTTGTAGAGATGATACAGTAGACAGTGGTTGTGGTTTGCATAAAAGCGCCATTGAAACCAGAGCCGAGTAGGTAAATCGAATATCCACTTCCGCAATATCCGGGGCCGCCTGAAAAGCACCTCGAAAAGACTCTCCAAAGAGAGGACACTCGTGTCTAATATGACACGACATCACAAATGACATTAATTTCTCCTTATACGCCCACTCCTCAGTGGCCTTGGGTAGAAAATCACAGAGGTTTAATATCTGAAGAGCACAGTGGGTCATGGATAATGTGGCGCTTGTGTTATAATGGCTCACAGGAACCGGACAAAACCCTCCTGTTTCGGTGTCGTAGCAACGCCGCATCTCCTCAAACAGTTTGTCCCTCTCCGCGTTGAAGACGCCATCATCTTTTCTCCAGTCCACCCCAAGCAAATCACGCCCCAGAAGGGAAAAGTAGAGCAAAATTATCCGTTGAGAATGCTGCTGCTGCTGAACCTTAGCCGGCATGCATCGTTGCGGATTGCTAAAGTACTGCAAGTGAACGAAGCCATCTCCAAGTATTTGTGAAGTCTCGTCCTCGCCCATTACAACCACCGCATGCGGCATCCCATAATCCCTAACAACTTCCTCCGCCTCCCAACAAACGTCTCGGAAAGACAATATTGGAAACAAAAAAAAAAATCAATGGGTAACTTTGCAAATAAATATTGAGGAATAAACACAAATAAAATAAGCCATGCGTAGTCCCATCTCTCACGTGCACGACGGGGCACATTCACGGTATGGTCCCGTCCCTCACCTCCTGCTACTCGTTAACTAAACATTTCTTAAACGGCTTCCTTCTTCGTTTTTTATTATGCTTCCTTTTATTTATTTTTTTGCTGGTTGCTTTCTGGTGCTTTTCCCAACACTTTCTCCTCCTGCTTCTCTTGTTGCTTACTCCTCCTTCGTGTTCTTCTTCCGAAGGCTACTTCTCCTCCTCCTGCTCCCTTCCCTTGACGACGCCCCACGTGCTCAAAGCGTCGGGATACCGGACCGCTTCTTGAGATACAACGACAGCACGGAGCTCATGGGGGGTGCCGTGTAGGCGGAATCCGCCAGAACCTCCCCGAGCCACTTCTTCGCTGCCGCCGCACGAATTGCAGCGCCAACTGAGACCTCCTTCCTCCCCAATTCGGAGAGTTTGTTGACATGAGTGACATCGTGAAAGAACTGCCCCAGATGCCCTTCGCGGCCACTGAAGCTCGATGCATGGTCACTGGTTCCTTCGAACTTTTCAACCGACACTCCCTCCTCTCCCTTCTTCGCGTTGGTATCGACCGGCGCGACGTGCAGCACGCGGAATCCAGAGACCTCATCCACAACCGCCACCCGTTCTTTCCCCGCCCCCGGAAGACACCTCATAAAATGAATGCGGTGCGGTGTCGCCGTTGACTTGTGCCGCCCTAATTCTTCCCCCATCCGTTGCACCGCACCGCACAATTCCCTAATCCCTCCATCACTTGTCGCCACAAGGACAGATGCAGCAGAACACGCACACATGGCTGTCAATCGGGTGGAATGGGCTTCCCAGACGACTGCCGGCTGATGGGGTGAGGCTAGCGACCAAAAATAAACTCGTGTTTCGTCACGAGCCACCACGACTCGGCTTTCACTTAAAAGCTGAAGTTCTCTCAGTGGCGTCACAGAAAACAATTGCGTGAGTGTATGTAGTCGATGCCAATTTTGGCCCGGAGAGACGTTGGCTACACCATAGACATGTACACTGTCGTCTGAAACAAAGCACAACGAGGCGTCCATGGAAAGAATTATATCCGTTACAAAAAGCGACGGCGTTGCCGAGGAAGACTTATTCACCCAACTCTTCTGTCCTGGGGAATACGCGTCATTCGCATCCACAGCTATTTCCTCCCAACATTTCATCCAGTTGGTAGAAAGCGTAAAAACACGTCCATGCACCTCGTCTGTTTGTAGCGCAATCACGCGACTACTGTGAGGAGAGTAAATGGTTTGTGTCTCCATATGCCGTTTGGCGTGCGTGTCATACACCCAGAAGCGAAGCAAGGGGGGAAGCGATGTGCCTCCAAACTCCTCATATGTCACAATCGTCCGGTTATCATTCAGTAATCCCACATGTTGAATGCCATGCCGGGGGGGAATAGCAACTGTCTCCATCTGGGAAGAGATGTGAAGGGAATAAAGCGATTGCTGCGTAAGGGGATCGCAGATACGCAACACGTTCGGCAACCCAGTAAGAATCACGGCAGGTTGTCCCATCCATCGTCCCACCACAAGTCCACTGCACGCCTCACCTGTAGACCACTGAACACCCTCAATGAACTCCTCTACCCGCATCTGTAGCAAATCCAGCGTTGCAAGCGTTGACTCTGCACAGGCAAGTAAAAGTTGAGATCCATTGGAATAAGAAGGCACAATGCAGCGAATTGGTCCTAGGCTGCATCCAATCTTCCTATAGGCGTAGGAAGACATACTCCACACCAAAATGACCGATTCCCTTGCGCCGGAAAAGAGAGAATTACCGTCTACTGAAAAACCTAAGGCTGTCAATGGGGTATGATGCCAGTGATCCGAGAAGTGGTGGCTTTCGGTGACAGAAGGGAAAACTATCAATTCACCCCGCGTGCCACCCACAGCCATAGAGTTAGTGACAGGATTGCACGCCAAGCTCTGAATACCTATGGGCAGATGGAGTTGCCTGGTGCCGTGAGCATCGCGTTGTTCATAGAGGGAGTACCGCGCCCACTTTTCGCCTCGTTGACCAACAACAACAAGGCCGGTAAACCTTCCTGTTGCCATCGTGCAATCACGCAGTGGAATGTGGAAGGGCATTATTTTCTCCGCCTTCATCACCGACGCGTCCCGCAGTGACGCCTCATAGACACCACCTGCCGTAAGGAAGACACAATGAAGCTCCCCCTTCGCCTCATGAAAGTGCGCCTCCAAAATTCCCCCTTCTTTTTGCATACGGGCCTTCTGCACCACATTTCGCCGGCATGATACCACCGGCTTATCGCCAGTCTCTGCTGAAGAGTCGCGCCTCCATTGAATCGAAGAAGATGCCACCACCTCCACGTGAGCAAGGGAGATTAGGAACCAATTTGCCTCCGCGTCAACGACATGGAGCTGCATGTCGCCAGCGACATTCGCCAAAACACATAACCCAACGACACGCGCCCCACTGAGCTGCTCCACACGGAATTTCTTTAGATTTTTTGGGGCATAAAAAGCAACGCTGGAATCCTCCGCGACATACACGGCGTCCTTGCAAACGGCGAGGAGGTGCGGTAAGACCATGTTTGGGTAAAGGCAGGAAACTGAAAGGCGGAAAAGGATTCTCTTCCCTCAGTCTCGCTCTCCCTTCCCTTCTAACGTGCAGGTGTTTTCCTTCTCTCTGCGTCTTTATGCCAAAACACAGAGAATAATGGCAGTAATTGTCTGTTTCTCTTTCTCTCTCTCTCTCTCTCTCTGTATTTGTGCGGGTGTGTCAGTAAGCAACTCCAGTGGGGCTCGATGCGGGAAGGTATTTATGGCCAGTGCCTAAGTAAAACAAAAGAAAAAAAAAGGCAGAAATTGTATGGTTGGTATAAATCCATATATGCGAGCATGAATGAACATTTACAGGAAGCAACACGTAGACACAGAGAGAAACAGGTGCGTTAAGAACCAACAAAACATTTTCAAAGGTGGCAATAAAGATCGCCCCATACACGCGTACATAAATAGATCTGTATGCATCCCATTCATACCCACCCCCTTCTATCCCTGCATATACCCCATGCCCTCCTCCCTGTTCACCACTTACCTCCATTCTTTCTTTTTTTTTTTTTTTTTGATTACGATATTGTCGCTATTTTATTATATATATATATATTTTGTTTTGTTTTGTTTTGTTTTCGTCCCCATTCTTTCCACACACACACACACACACACACACACTTCTTCTTCTGAACAAAAACGCTTCGAGCGACGACGCGGAACACGTGCACTGACATACATGCCAAAAAGTTGGTCCAAGTACTGCGACAATAACAACAACAACATCAACATCGACAAAAATAAATTTTTTTTCTTTTATAAATTTATAACTCCTATCCTTATCGAAAAAAGAGACGGCCACGTTGGAGAACAAACGTTTTAGGGGTTTGTTGTCCCGTATCCTTCGTGTGAACGAAAGAGCGACTCCGTTTCGGTCTCCCTGGCACTACTATTCCTCCACCGGTACAAGATAAATGTCACAAGAAGAAGAACAAGGGCGGCGGCGATAAGAAACAACCTCTCGCGTGAATTAAATTGATGAGGCCATTTATTGGCTGGCGCCGACGATGTATTTGTCGCGTTCTCCTCGGATGCCAACCCAGCGAGTTGTGCGCCGGATGACTCGTTGGCTGATCTTTCCATCATAGACATCTCTTCACTCGACATGCCTTCCATTTGAGAACTGTTCTTGTGGTGGTTCTCCATATTCCTCATGCACATGGAGCAATTCATGTGCTGCATTGCGCCCGACATGCCTGCCATTTGAGAGCTGTTCGTGTGGTGGTTCTCCATATTCCTCATGCACATGGAGCAATTCATGTGCTGCATTGCGCCCGACATGCCTGCCATTTGAGAGCTGTTCGTGTGGTGGTTCTCCATATTCCTCATGCACATGGAGCAATTCATGTGCTGCATTGCACCCGACATGCCTGCCATTTGAGAACTGTTCTTGTGGTGGTTCTCCATATTCCTCATGCACATGGAGCAATTCATGTGCTGCATTGCGCCCGACATGCCTGCCATTTGAGAGCTGTTCGTGTGGTGGTTCTCCATATTCCTCATGCACATGGAGCAATTCATGTGCTGCATTGCACCCGACATGCCTGCCATTTGAGAACTGTTCTTGTGGTGGTTCTCCATATTCCTCATGCACATGGAGCAATTCATGTGCTGCATTGCACCCGACATGCCTTCCATTTGAGAACTGTTCTTGTGGTGGTTCTCCATATTCCTCATGCACATGGAGCAATTCATGTGCTGCATTGCACCCGACATGCCTGCCATTTGAGAACTGTTCGTGTGGTGGTTCTCCATATCCCTCATGCACATGGAGTAATTCATGTGGTGCATGTCAACAAAATGGTATACGACGCGTCCATTCAGAGGCTGGGTTGGTCGGTGATTGCCGTTGTGGTTCCCCGGGCGGGCCCGCTGAAACGCCTCAACCAAACGCTCCAATGCCGTTTTGGAGATAATCTGAGGAGATGTCAGCACAACAAATAAAACCCCCTCGGTGCATGGAGGTGTGGTCAATGATCCATTGTAAGCAAAGTAGCTTCCACTTTGCGGTAGAAATCCTGCAATCGTCATGTTTTCCGTTAGCGTGCACGTCGTGACGGCACGTTTTGGAGGAAGCGAGCCATCTAGTAAAATATGTTTCAGTGCCGCAACGGAGGTGGAATTTATTTTATCCGACGCAACAAGCTGCACTACAACCACCATAAGGTGTGGCTGCCTCGACTGCTGCGTGTGAGCGAACACAAGATGCAGCTCCGCGTCTGGATTTGCGCAGGGAAGGACATGCTCCGCGGGGGAGTGAAAATGCATCGAAACAAGGTGATATTCCGGTGAATCCGGGTCCGTGGGGTCACGGACCGTGCAAAGGCTGGGGAACTTATTTGTCGGATCGTCAAGGGGGATAAAACGCACCGATATCGTATTGACCTCGTTCTCGATTTTGAGCGATGTCTTCTCCGCCGCAAACTTGCAGTCACGTGAGAAGACAAGCGGCCCCATGTCTTTGCGGTGAACCACCTCATTTGGTTGGAGCTCGGAGAAAGAGACAGGACTCTGCTGCTTCCCCGTCTGGCACAACTTGGGCCAGGCAGTGAGGTTGGTGTATCCCCACTGTGGCCCCTGAGGCTTTTCCCGCGGCAGCCCAGCTGTAGTGTAGCCGTTTTCCGCAGAGACAGGCGACATGAGGGCATGTACGTGGAGACACAAAAGTGAAAAAATAACGGCCTTTACCATCTTACTCCCTTCCCTTCCTTCTCCTCGCCGTATGCCACAAGTCATTCTGGGGGGGGGATCTATACTTGTCTGCCGCTCTTCAGACGCCGCGGCCAAACAGAAACACACATCCGAAAAAAAAAAGAAAAAAAAAAAGGAGAGAGAGAGAGAGAGAGAGCAAAGGATGAAAGCAACCTCTCTTATCCAACATGCATAAATTCCCCGGGCGTCGCCCTCCTTCGATTAAGTTTCTTTTTTTTTTTTTTTTTCCACCGGTCTTCGTCAGTTTAAAACCTTCTCTTGTCCTGCGCCTCCTCCCTCCCAACCACTCGCCGTTGACCGTACGGCGTGCGGATGTTGACGGTTCCGTGAGGCCTGTTGTGCACCCATGGCAGTTGCGGCGCAATCCCCAATCGCCTCCGCGCAGTCCACACTTCAAAGACGGTCATGCAAAAATAAAAAATAAAAAAAAAAATTTATACAAAAGGCTTTTTGCGCTTCACATAATCTTTGTTCCCCCCTCACCTTTTTTTTTTTTTTCCCCACACACCCCGTGTCCTCCTCTAATTTGTGGGACTTGCAGTGCCGTACGACCTTTGTGCTGCCGCCCGGCGCGACTCCAGAAAACGCTGCCGCGAGGCGTTTCCATCTGTCCGTGTCGACGCAGTGTTGCTATCCACCGGCACCGTTGCGGAGCCGTGCACATCCAGAAGCTCCTCATACTCCTCCCCCGACAAGCGCCTTGACCGCAGACAACGATTTACAAGCAACGCCGTAAGCACCGTAAAGAAAAGAAGAGCACTAAACCACGCGACAAATGGCAGCCAAGACCAATTTGTGCGGCCCCGAATAGGGTCAGCGAAGGATGTTGGCACCAACGAGGGAAGTTCCCCAGTCTGCAATCCTTCGCAGCCGTCATGTCCCCTCATTACAACACATTCATTGTGTGACGCCCCTTGCCTTCCAATGCACATCCCTTTCTTGGCACCTGAACCACACAGGGGTGCGTCAGGCCCCTCCTTGGCGACGCTGCTGCCGCTGACGATCGCCATGGATACATTGCGGCCCAGCGCTTTGGTCAGTGACGCAGTGCGTTCAATCATCTCCGACAGCGACACGGACGCATTTCTTGACGACACCATTCGTTACTAATTTTTTAAGATCAGAAAAACAAAAACAAACACACACACACACGGCCGCCCTTTTCCCTGAAGATATTCCCTTCACTCCCACCTTTTCCGACACCGGCGCCAACAGCAAACACACACGGGAGGGAAAAAAAAAAAAAAAAAGACAAAAACAAATTTAGACAAGTCAGGCAGTCCGTGAGTGCGTGCGCACGTGAGCGAAAGAAGGCTGAGCGTGGCAGCTAACAAAACGGCAGACTGCATTTCGGGAAGAAGCAACAAACCCACTCAAATCATACATCCGCGCAGCCAACCAAAAAAAAAAAGACAAGAAAACAACAAGACAATAATAATAATAATAGACGGCATCCCTCAAAAGCAAATATACACACATGAAGATGAAGATAAAGAAGAACAAAAAAAAAAAAAAACCGAATAGATAAATAAATAAATAAATAAAATAGCGGTTAAAGCAAAACAAGGGAGAGGATAAAGCAAAGAAATTGCCTCACAGACACACACAACAACAACAAAAACAACAACACACACAAACAAAAAAAAAAAAAACGGTCCTTTACTCCAGCAATTCAACATCACCTTCACTCACTAGCCATATCTCCACTCACACTGTTGCAGTCTTCACATACATCGCCCATTATTTCCCGCAGTCTCTCTCAGCATCACACATGAAAACTCCCCTTTTGGTGCAATAAGTCGACATGCGTGTGCCCCCCTCCCCTCCTTGCTGCGGTCTCTGCTTCTCATTGAAGATGGAGGGAATTCTTCGCTTACGAAGTTAAGGGTGCATCACTCTTAAGGGGCGTATAAAACGTATATTGGCAGAACAAAAATAATAAAAATAAAAATTAAAAAAAAAGAGGGAAGGGGGGAATTCAAAGAAAAGTTCGGAAAGAAACGCGCATCACCGCTGCGACAATAAATAGGCCTCGTTTCTTTGCCGGGACTCTCCAGTTATCCCCGCTTCTCCCTTTCCCACCTTTTCCTTTTCCTTTTTTTTTTCTTCTCTTTTCTTATTTTTTTTTGTTTTTGTTTGTTTGTTTTGTCTTTCATCGCCTCACAACGGCGGGTCTCCGCAAGAGACGCCCAACATTTGCACATCGTTCCAAATGTGCCCCCCCCCCCGCCCCCACTCTTCCCGCCCACAGGAGGAGCGAGAGGAGAGAAGCGGAAGGCAGAGAAGTGGAAAGAAAGAAAGAAAGAAAGAAAGAGAGATGAGTGCAGTGCAGTGCGTTAAAAATAATACATACAAATATAAATATATTTTTATTTATTTTATTTTATTTATTTTATTTGCTCCATCGTCCGGCCCCCTGTTGCCCCCCTCCAGTCATCGCGAGTGACAGACTCACGTGGGTGCATAACAACTCACCCACGCAAACTCCCCATCCAAAAAAAAAAAAAAAAAAAGAAGGGGGAAAGAAAAAATGATAGTCACAGACACCACGACTTTTTAATACAACACAATTGAGCTCCTTCTGCAAGTGTATAAATATAAGTATATATGTAGACAGGGTTGTAAGGAGAAAACAAAGAGAAAATATGCGTGCAAGTATCCGCGTGCAGAAAAAACCAAAAAAAAAAAAAAAAAAGAGGCGGCGCAGATGCACACATGCGGGCGCCAGAATACATGTGTATATAAATATAAATATAAATAAATTAAAAAAAGAAAAAAAAAAAAAAGAAGAATAATTATGAATGAATAAATGATAATAAAGAAAAAAAAAAAAAACAAAGAAGAATAATAAAAATAATTATTATAGTAAACACACACACACACACAGACAGAGACAGACAGAGACAGAGACAGAGAGAGACGGTGAGGAGTGCCGGTGGCAAAGCACAAATAAAACCCCGTTTGAAGGCAAAAGTAAATAAAATTCTCACCATCCTTGCCGGGGGGGGGGGGGGGAAAATACTAATAACAATATATATATATATATATATATAAGCACAGGAATTTAACGAAGGGAAACATTTAAAAAAAGAAGATCAAAAACAACAATGACAACAATCTCAAAGACGTCCTCCCCCCCTTTTTTTTTTTTTTTTTCGTCTCTTTTTTTTTTTCTTTTTTTGCTCCTTTTTATTATTAATTGTTTGCCCCTCGTCTTCCCCCTCAGTCCCAATTCCATCGGTGTTTTTTGTTTTGTTTTTTCATTATTTTACTCTTTTTGCCTGCTGCGCACCGTACGGTCCCCGTCTTATATGTGACTGTGAAATGTGTGTGTGTGTGTGTGTGCGTATACAAAATGAAAATATACAAATATATATATATATGTACTTTTTTCCTCTGTTCGTTTTCGGATTATATATAAATATAATAAATAATAAATATGTATGTTCACTCTCTCTCTCTCTCTCTCTCTCTCTCTCTCTCTCTCTCTCTCTCTCTCTCTCTTCTCTCTTTTTTTTTTTTTTTTT